ACAAAATCCCAGGACACTGGCCCCTACTTCTTCAGCCTTGTCTTTCTTGCCCAGGTCTTGCTTTCACGTGACAGAAAACGTCTCTTAGATGCTCTGTGATTATTTGTGTGTTGTTAAATTTTTTTTCTCTTTTCTCTTCATGTTTTCATTTGAGTAGTTTTACTGAATTGTTTTCAAGTTCATGGATTCTTTCCTTCTCTGTGTTTAGTCTTCTTATTAGCGTATCAAAGGAATCATCTCAGAAGATTTTGAGTTTTTGAAATAGCATTTCCCTTGAACCATTTCTTCCAACCTCCATCTATTTGTGGAGATGCTCTCCAGCACTATCCATCATCCACCTTTGATCATGTTGATTTAGAGGACATCTTTTGTTGATACTTTTGTTATACTTTTTCTGCTCTTCTTCGGTGGGTTTCCTTGTGCTCTGAAGGCAGGCATTTGATGAAGACATCCTTTTTAGGGCAGAGTGTGTCAACGTCTCTTACTCTCTGGGCTGTGTAACTTTTTGATACTTGGAATTACGGGTCTTGACACATGAGCCAGAATCAGCATTTGACCATACCTAGTCTTTGCCCAGATTGTCCTGTCCTTCCTCACTTCATCTGACTGATCCAGTGACCTTCACAGTGACTTGCCGAGCTCTTCCTCCCCTCCTGCATCTTAGCAACTACATCCAGTTTTAAAGATGTCTAAAAACCTCTCCTAGGCGACCTGCCAGGCTAGCATGCTTCCTTCTTCCACTTCAGAATTGTTGGCGTTGAGCTGTGCTTGTCGATGGACCTCAAGTTCTTTCTTGTTGATTGTTTTTGTTTTGCTTTATTAGTTTTTAAAAAGACAGACATTTCTTTAGTATGGTGTTTCTCAGCTAATCCAGACTTCCCAGATAAGCTCCTTTCTTCCATGTTCCTTCTAATCCAAATGAAACAGCTTCGACCTAGACAAACACAAGCATTAGGGCTGACTTGTTTTCGGGCTTCACCCTCACTCCGTCCTGGGGTCCGCTGCCCGCACACCTACTTCACTACGTAGACTCTTTCACTGTTCTGCTAGGCTATTGGTCCTGCGGAGTGATGCAGCGATTTCACTCATCAGCAGCAAATCACTTGGAAAGGGACGGGACATCCAGTGGGAAAGACATGCTGCCCGTGCCCATGGTTTTCCACTCTACACTTTTAATGCTTGGTGTGAGTCCTATGAAGACTTCTATTTTCCCTGAGTTTTGCTGTGGTACAGGCATTTCCTTAGCCTCTTCCTAATTCATTGCTGTCCTGAAAATCATTCTTGATACAAAGTTGCTGTTCCATAAATAAGTTCATGTATGTCTAAAGGAATCTTTAATTTTTTTATGGTTCTTTATAAAGAAATACAAGGTTTCCAAGTTGTTAGGGTGTAAGCTCTCTAGGAAATCATTGCTCTCCTAGTCCAGGCCTTTTGGGTGCCTCCCCTCTTGCTGTTAGGCAGTGTCCTGTAGCAGGAACGTGTATCACCTCACAAGTTTTCATTGTCTTGTTCTCCTCTCCACAGTGTTAGGTGGTGAGGGCTTGCACTAGCCAGCTCAGGTTTTAATATTCTTAAAACTATTTGAGGCATTGAGAAAGTTAAATTCTTCTGTGGTTTTAGAAGGTTAATGCATGCCAGATTCACTTAGTTTTGTAGTTAAAAATCTTAAACAAACAAGCTAAAAAGACCACCTGTATGATGGCACATTTACTTTGAGTCCTTTCCAATATTCTATTTAATCCCACTTGTATTAAGAAACACACACAGAATTGACTCCAACTCTGCCAAGTTGAAGTAAGCAGGGCAGGGTAGAGTCAGTGAGCTAGGTGGCTTGAAGAGTGGTCTTCTGCCGCCTCACCCTCGGCCTCCTCCCCCTGCTCAGGTACCCTGCCGAGGCTGTAGGCAACCCAGCTGTATACATGTCTTGGCAACATGTCCACCTGTTTCTCCCAGCCAGGAAATCTGATCAACTGACGATACAGAGATCAAGTTCACACCTGTTCTCCTCCTTGTTGACCAAACAGCTAAGTGAAACAACTTAAAAGGAGAAACCATTTATTTTGGCTAATAGTTTAAGAGGCTGCAGTCCTCAGTAACTTGTCTTCATTTTTGTGACCCTCCTGTAAGGTGGATTAACATGGCTGGGAGCATGTGGAGCAGCCACTCGCCTCATGGCAGCCAGGAAGCAGAAAGTAGACCAGGGTCAAGGAGCACTCTTCAAGGGCATGCTTTCTTTCTTACACACACACACACACACACACACACACACACACACACACACACACACACTTAATTTATTTATGTTTTTATTTATTTTGAGACAAGGTTCTCCATGTAGCTCTGGCTGTTCTGGAACTCACTTTGTAGACCAGGTTGGCCTGGAACTCAAGTAGATCCATCTGCTTCCGCCCCCAGAGTGCTGGAACTAAGGCATGTGCCGCCAAGCCTAGCTCAAGGGCATGCTGTCAGTGACCCACTTCCTCTAAGGAGACTCCGCCTTGGAAAGGTCTCACCACCTCAGATGTTCTAAGTGGTTATGAGCCTGTAAATGGAATAATCAATCCTTCATAGGGTCAAAGCCCTCGAGACCCAGTCACCTCCCCAAGGTGTGGCCTCCCAGTATTGCCGCTCAGGGTCAAGCTTCTAACCCAACCCAGGAGCGTTGGGGAAGGAAGTTGTAACATTAGTTAGCAAGCTTGCATTCTCCTGTGGCTCCTAGAGGCATTATCTGCTAGTGAGGAAGGAGAAACAATGTTTCCATTCGGGTCTTGTTATGGAGAAGACAAGCTAGCTTTGATGACACGATAGGGAGGGAAGACTAGTAAAGAGTGTCCTTGCTGCCATTATTTCAAGTGGCATTCAGTGACCGGAAATCACCAGTCAGAGCCTGGCAGTATTTGTAAAGCACAGTAGAGTGTTGCAGCTACTTCCTGTCCTACACACTGGTGTGAATACATGCGTGTGCTTTATGTACTCTGTTTAGGATCTTAACTGTCTAGTCCTCTCCTTGATAACTAAGAACATCATGAATGTGAAATGTGTCTTTTGTAGCAAATTAGAATTTGTAGCAATAAATTATTAATCAGTATAGGAATGGGAGGTAAAATATGGAAAATGCTGAGGAAATACTATATATTTTTAATGGATCGGTGGATAAACACCTCCATTTATCCTCATGACTTCATTTTACCAGTAGCACTTTGAGGTGTAATTTATAGCTTATGAAATCCCCTTACTAAATTAGCATGTTGCCCTTATTAAAGGAAAATGTGTCTTTTTAGAGGCAAAGATGCATTTTGTTCTGACAAATAGGAAATTTATACATTTGTTTCACAGCTGACTACAAATCTGATTTCATGCCAACTTAAAAAAAAGTACAACCTATGCTTTAGGGACTTGGAATAACTAAGGTACAATAAATCTTACCGATGCAGTTACCACAGATTTTACCTCTTTTGTAGTTTATCATTCTGATGATATAGTTATAAAGAAATATAATGCCTGGTGGCTTTATGTTTTACTTTGTATCTCAGAGCACAAAACCCTCCATGGCTCATTTTAAAACTTTGAGGTAAATGGTACCCATATAATTTAAAGATTAGGTTTAGTTACCCTCTGCAAATTGCTTTTGGAAGTATAGATAATCAAAAAGTAAGAATGGTTTTAAGTTTCAGATATAGAATAACAATAGCTTTTTTAAACTGAGATTTTATTTGCACAGAGTCTGTGCATAGCAGGAAAAGTAGAACTAACTGCCTTTGCATGTGTTTACATGATTAGATTTTTTTCCTTTTTTGTTAATAAAGTTCAATACCCCTGTTCCTATTCTGTTCCTTATTTATGAATACAGTTAAGTTGCCAAAAAATGTATCCCAGATGTCATACACGTCCTGGAAGCAATGCTGTCTCTTAAGCTTAGATCACCAAAGATATCTGCAGTCTTTTCTGCTTTTTCTCCCTCTCAGATAATCTATCTGTATGGGAAAGGTTTGAAATACACAGTGAATGTGAGTGTCAGCTCCTAAGTGTGAATATGTTGAATTTTGCAGGAAAGCGGTGGATGCAACTCCTTTAGAAAGAGGTGCTCCCTGAAGCTTTCCTTGGGGAGCACCGTAACCCATATTTATATTGGAGGTTCCTGGGCAGCAGCATGAGGATGCACCCCAGCAGATTTTAATAACTCCATCTCTGTGGTTTTAGATGCATCCCAGCTGTGATTTGTAATTCCTCCAATGCCCAACATGACTGACAGTAATCTCTGTGCACCTGAAGTTTGCAGGACCATGACAAGCCCTGTCTATCCATTTAACATAGACTCTGTGGGTTCAGGCTTAGCCATTTCTAGCCTGGTCATATATAGAGTTGAGAAATAAAATACTCAAAACATACCAGTGAATCCAAGTGGCTAGAAAATGTCTTTCAGGCTTTAGTCTCTCTCTCTGCACCTAACCTTGGGGTGCTGCCTGAACACAGCTCCCTGCTTCCATTCCTAGACTGATTCCAAAGGCGCAGGAATCTGCATTTTCTCAAGTAAATAGGTAATTTGGGGGCTTGTAGCGCTTAGCCTGTGGGATGCTGATGCAGATCTGTTTCCACACGTACAAGTCCAGGATGCAAAGGCCCCACATGCAGATGCGTGCTGTGCTCGGCTTAACGTTCTTCTCTTGATGCTGTGGAGCCCTTGGTATTCTGTGAGCAAAGGAGTCCTGTCTTTCCTGAAAATCGTGTAGCCAGATCTGCAAATAAGGCTCTGCTTTCTGTGACTGAGAGACTCTTGACAAGCATTCGTGCAGTTATTAGCAGTATTTTTCTTGCCTGTTAGTTAGCATTAGACCAAAGTCTGTAAGGCTCTTCTGAGCTTTAGAGGTGAACATCTGTCATTTATCACAAGAGTCAGAATAGGAAGTCATAGTACACACTTTTTCAGGGAGTTCTCTTTAAATCCGTCTGACCATGAGCACCTGTGTTTCTGTTATGCTAACACACCTTTCTCCCCCCAGGATGGCACGAAACAGAAGAGAGAGCGGAAGAAGACGGTGTCCTTCAGCAGCATGCCCACAGAGAAGAAGATCAGCAGTGCAAGTGACTGCATCAACTCAATGGTTGAGGGTTCCGAACTCAAAAAGGTTCGCTCCAACTCCAGGATTTACCATCGGTATTTTTTGCTGGATGCCGACATGCAAAGCCTGAGGTGGGAGCCTTCTAAGAAGGATTCTGAGAAAGCCAAGATTGATATCAAGTCTATCAAGGAAGTGAGAACGGGGAAAAACACAGATATATTCCGCAGCAATGGCATTTCTGAGCAGATATCTGAGGATTGCGCATTTTCAGTCATATATGGAGAGAATTATGAGTCACTTGATTTGGTTGCCAATTCTGCAGATGTTGCAAACATCTGGGTGACGGGACTCCGATACCTGATTTCTTATGGGAAACACACACTCGATATGTTAGAAAGTAGCCAGGACAACATGAGGACTTCTTGGGTTTCACAAATGTTTAGTGAAATAGATGTAGACAATCTTGGACACATAACCCTGTGTAATGCTGTGCAATGTATAAGAAACCTCAATCCTGGTTTAAAAACAAGCAAAATTGAGCTTAAGTTCAAAGAGTTGCATAAATCAAAGGATAAGGCAGGCACTGAAGTCACAAAAGAAGAATTTATTGAGGTTTTTCATGAACTGTGTACTAGACCTGAAATTTACTTCCTTTTAGTTCAGTTTTCAAGCAATAAAGAAGTCCTTGATACCAAGGACCTTATGATGTTTCTTGAGGCAGAACAGGGTGTAGCCCATATAAATGAGGAGGTAAGTCTTGAAATTATTCACAAATATGAGCCATCCAAAGAAGGGCAGGAGAAAGGTTGTCTCTCCATAGATGGGTTCACTAATTACCTGATGTCACCTGATTGTTACATATTTGACCCAGAGCATAAGAAGGTCTGTCAGGATATGAAGCAGCCACTGTCTCATTACTTCATAAACTCTTCCCATAACACATACTTGATAGAGGACCAGTTCCGAGGCCCCTCTGACATCACAGGGTACATCCGCGCCCTTAAGATGGGTTGCAGGAGTGTAGAATTAGATGTGTGGGATGGGCCAGACAATGAGCCTGTGATTTACACAGGCCATACCATGACCTCCCAGATAGTCTTCCGCAGCGTCATCGACATTATTAACAAGTATGCGTTCTTTGCATCTGAGTATCCACTCATCTTATGTCTAGAAAACCACTGCTCTATTAAACAACAGAGAGTGATGGTTCAGCACATGAAGAAAATTTTAGGAGACAAGCTGTACACAACCTCCCCCAACATGGAGGAGTCCTACCTCCCGTCCCCAGACGTCCTGAAAGGGAAAATACTAATCAAAGCAAAGAAGCTGTCTTCAAACTGCTCAGGAGTGGAAGGAGATGTGACTGATGAAGACGAAGGGGCAGAGATGTCTCAGAGGATGGGGAAGGAGATTGTGGAACAGCCCAGCCAGCTGCCCGTGAAGCGCTTTCAACTTTGCAAAGAGCTGTCTGAGCTGGTGAGCATCTGTAAGTCAGTCCAGTTCAGGGAATTTCAGGTGTCATTTCAGGCACAGAAGTACTGGGAAGTGTGTTCGTTCAATGAAGTGCTTGCTAGCAAATACGCCAACGAGAACCCTGGGGACTTTGTCAATTACAACAAGCGCTTTCTTGCCAGGGTCTTCCCTAGTCCCATGAGAATTGACTCTAGTAACATGAACCCTCAAGATTTTTGGAAATGTGGGTGTCAGATTGTAGCCATGAACTTTCAGACTCCGGGACTAATGATGGACCTCAACATCGGCTGGTTCCGGCAGAATGGAAATTGTGGCTACGTTCTCCGACCAGCCATCATGAGAGAGGAAGTCTCCTTCTTCAGTGCCAACACGAAGGACTCTGTCCCCGGAGTCTCGCCTCAGCTGCTGCATATCAAAATTATCAGTGGCCAGAACTTCCCCAAGCCCAAAGGGTCAGGTGCCAAAGGTGACGTGGTGGATCCTTACGTGTATGTGGAAATCCACGGAATCCCCGCTGACTGTGCCGAGCAAAGGACGAAAACCGTGAACCAGAATGGAGATGCGCCCATTTTTGATGAAAGCTTTGAATTTCAAATCAACCTCCCTGAACTGGCCATGGTGCGCTTCGTAGTGCTGGATGATGACTACATTGGGGATGAGTTTATTGGCCAGTACACGATTCCCTTTGAATGTTTACAGACGGGCTACCGCCACGTCCCCCTGCAGTCCCTGACTGGAGAAGTCCTTGCCCATGCTTCTTTGTTTGTCCATGTGGCTATTACTAACCGAAGAGGAGGAGGGAAGCCCCATAAAAGGGGCCTTTCCGTGAGGAAAGGGAAGAAGTCCCGGGAATATGCATCTCTGAGAACACTGTGGATTAAAACCGTAGATGAGGTGTTCAAAAATGCCCAGCCCCCCATACGGGATGCCACAGACCTGCGAGAGAACATGCAGGTGTGTGTTTGTGTTTAGATTTCTACTTGCATGTCTGTGATTTGTAGATGGTTATTTTTGCTGTAGTATATTGAATTTTAAATACTTGGTAAATTGCAACTGGTTGTCAGAATGCTTACTACCAGCCTCATTCCTCATCATTTAAACTTCCCAAGCTGCAGTTACTGAAATACCGATTGCATGCTAGAGTAAACTGGTCTTGTTGCTGACTCCCAAGCTGCTTACCCATGGTCCTCTTAGGACCAGTTCAGAGCTATGTTTTTTTTTTTTTTAAACACAGTGTACATGGGAATCTCTGATGTTGTGGAATATTATGATTTCTTAGATGGAACACAAATTGATGACCTATCAAAAGGTAATGAGTTAAAGTAAAGGGATGTATTCCAGATCTTTCTTATGGAGCTCTAGTGTTTGGAAACTTTGAAATGAGCCAGTGTTCTTTTGATTTTAGAGGACACATAATTATTTACATAAAATGTTTATGGTAAATGTATTTATGAAAGCCTTAAGATGATAATGTGTTCTAAAATAACACCTTTCAGAGCAATCACTTAGGAACTGTGTACCTGGTTAAGGATGGCCACACATCTAGCTGTATAGTAGGATTGGTGAGTAATGCAGGGCTAAACCCTGGGCCTCCTTTACAGAGAATCCATAGCATTAATGAGTCATGTTCTGTGTGGTAGGTATTACAAAATGTTTCTTTATTTTTCAAAAAGATTTTATTTTATATGTATGAGTGTTTTGCCTGAATGTTTATCTATGACCACATGCATGCCTGGTATACACAGAGCCCAGAAAGAGGCTGTCAGAGTCCCTGGAACTAGAGTTACAGACAGCTGTGAGCTGCCATGGGAGTGCTAGGAATCGAACTCAGGTCCTTGGGAAGAGCAGCGGTGCTCTTAACCATTGAGTCATCTCTCCCATCACTGTTTGCCCTTAAGCCACTATTTATTAAAAAATGGCATTAGCAGTAAATGCTAACCCAGGAAACACTCTCACTGTAATAAGAACAGTTTCATTGTCTTTCTTGCAAGGTCAAAGCATAACCCAAACTGGAAGAGTTTCTCGTTGTTGAGGGTGCATGCATGTTGGCAAATCCTCGGTTCCAAATAAGCCACATTGTCCCCTGCCTGTGGCTGTTGGTGTGCGTATGGGACATAAGTCCCTCTGGGCTCCCCTGTCCTGACCCCACAGAGCCATCTGTAGTGGTGCTTACTGAGAGCCTGCTGCGCATCCTCAGGCTGCCTGCCAGAGTGGTGGGGACCAGTAGATGGCAGCCTGCCCTCAGAGGACTTGTGCTACAGTGAGGGGCGGGCGGTGGGAGACAGGGGAAACACAGGCTACTGTGAGAGATGCAGGGCTGTGAAGAAAAACAGACTTCTTGGGGGAGCACGTTTTCGACATCACAATAATTCAGTTCTGTACCTGGTCACAAAATGATTTTGAACAATGATGATGCATAGCTTGGCGGCCATGTCTAAAGCAATATTAATAAAAGTGAAATGTTTAAATTCAAACTTGTTTCCAGAACATGGATTATTAGGAGCCTAGTTCTGTAGATCTGCTCCTTCTGGCCACCTGCTCTGTCCACGGGGCACAGACATGCCTAGAGTCACACTCTGCACTCATACTATGACTTGGAAAAAAATGGGTATTTATATATAAATCCCCTTTACATATGTATACATACTTGCCACATACATGTATAGATGGGAGTTTTTAGGGTGGCTTACAGGCTGTGGTCCAGTGAGTCTAACAGTGGGTACCTACCACAGGAAGGCCCAGGAATCCAGTATTTGTTCCCTAGTCCCCTAGACTGCATGTCCCAGCTGGCCATGTGTATACACTAGAATCATGAAGAAATGGGCGAGAGAGAGAAAAAGCTTCCTTCTCCCGTGCCCTTTACATAGAATTCCAGCAAAGTGTTGACCCAGGTTAAAAGTTGTATCTTTCTACCTCAAAGGATCTAAATTAAATGTTTATCTTCCTGCTTCAAATATCCAGATGACAAATGGGTCTTCATCCCTATAATCCCTGTACTTGGGAGGCAGGGGCAGGTGGATCTCTGAGTTCAAGGCCTGCCTGGTCTATAGAGTTAGTTCAGGACAGTCAACACTACTAAGAAAAACCCTGTATCAATAAAAAAAAACAAAACAAAACAAACAAAGAAACCCCTGGGTCTTCCTGTTTCAAATTATTTAAGGAAAGCTCCTTCACAGGTATGCTTAGCCATTTAGTTTTTAGTTAATTATCTCTTTTTTATTTTGCAGAACGCAGTGGTATCATTCAAGGAGTTGTGTGGCCTCTCCTCGGTGGCCAACCTCATGCAGTGCATGGTGGCTGTGTCACCTCGGTTCCTAGGGCCTGACAACACCCCACTGGTGGTCTTGAATCTTAGTGAGCCCTACCCCACCATGGAGCTGCAGGCCATCGTGCCTGAGGTTCTGAAGAAGATTGTAACGACCTATGACGTGGTGAGTCCTCTTTGCTCTGCCCATGGGGGAAAGACATAAGCAGAGATTGCTGGCCTGTTCTTCCCTGGGTCGTGCGTTATATGCTCGTGTTGGAGGCTTGTCTCCCTGGCTCTGTTGTCCTTGAAGGGTTTGTATTGTGTCACTGTGTAGAGAGCAGGGTTCAGAGACACTTTCCTCAGTCAGATAAACATGAACTCCCTAAGGAGTGAGCCTCAATTAGCCTCACATGGATGTTCTGGCCATGCATGTGGTTAAACAAAACAAACAAACAAACCAAAGACCCTTTTGTCCCATCTTGGAACTAGTCATTGATTTATTTTGTTTCCGCTTTTCCCTCAGTCCAGTAATAAATCTGATGTTCTGAAAGATGAGTTTGAAATGCCATTAAGGGCAGGTGCTCCCATAATACAACACTCCTGGGTGGTATTTCCTTCCTCAGGGTAGCTGTTCTGGGCTGTCTTCATTTGTAATCAGCTTCATGTTAATGAGTTCTCTTCAGGACACCTGGAATGCTACATTTTTGCTTTTAAGATTTATCTTGCATTTTCTTAATCCCATGCTGCTCTTTTTGTGTTCATAACTCTAAGGGAGAATGTCTTTCTGTTGTGTGTTCATGTGTGAGGGGTAGAGAGACAGTACAACATGCACCATACCATGTATGCCGGGGTCAGAGGACAACTTGCCAGACTTGCTTCCCTCCTGTTGTGGAATCCAGTGTGGAACTCCTGGGCTCGGGCTTACAAGGCAATACTTTAACCATTGAGCTCATGCACTGGCCTGCCAAGGAGGAATTTAATTTGTGAACCGCACTAACTTCAAATTCCTAATATATGTGAGGCTGTTAGAACTGGCCGTGTGCATTAGCCGTGACGTTTTAGTCTGGCAGAGCGGGACACTCCTGTCAGGTAGGTCAGGGTGTCACCTTTTACCATTGAGGGTACTCAGGAATAACTGCTGTGCCACCACGTCCGCCACCGGAAAACGCTAGCTAAGGTCATCGGAAATGAAAATGAAGTTTCCTCCCATACATCTTGCTGTGCTTGACAAGAAAATAGGATTGGCACCTCCTCCTATCTAAGACATTTTTTACTGTTTTGGTCTGAAAACTGTAATTTAAAGGAGTTAGGTGATGGAAGAGAGATGCAGACATCTTGGGCTAGCGTTTCCCACACTGTTATGAGGAACCCTGCTTTCTTGGGATATTAATAAACATCCCATGGGGGAAGGGTACACGGAACAGTAGGGGAAATACTCCGAATGAAACTCATCAGAGGTCATCCTTTCCAGTCATTCTAGCACACCGGCCCATGGGATGCAGCCTCCCACAGTCAAGGTGGCTTTTCCTTCCTTTGTTAAACTTCCTCCTAGACAAACCTAGGGGTGTGTTTCTATGGTGATTCTAAACTCTACCGAGTTGAGAGTGAAGGTCAGCCATAACAGTAGTCACACGTTACACCAAGTGTTCACCCTACCTCCCATTTCAGCTTCCACCTCATGGAGCTTAGGACATACAAGGGACTGAGCATTTCCTGCTGGAAACAAGCTGCAGAGGGTCACTTAGTTCTCAAGAGAAGGCTAAACACACCCAGGAGAGCAGAGGAACAATCAATCCCAGAGCATTTCACCAAAACAGGTATAATAAAACACGAAAGCAACAAAACCATAGGAATGATACAGACTGTTCAGTAATAACCCTCATTATTAATGGTCTCAATTCCCCAATTAAAGGACACATACTAGCAGATTGGACTGGAAAACATCCAATGAAATAAAAGCAATTAAAATTTTTTTCCTGAAGAAAAAAAAAATCTAGGGCCATATGTATTCAGTGCAGTTACCAGACTTCCAAAGAACTAACACCAGTATTTATTCCAGAAAATAGAAAATAAAGAAATATCTCCAAGTTATTTTTTAATTATAACTTTTTGTATTTGCTACACATCTGACAGAAGGTTAGTATCAAGAGTGTACAAAGAATTTTAAAAATCTAAACATCAAGAGAACAATCAACCTAGTTTTAAAAAATGGGGCTTGGTACTAGACAGGAGTTTCAAACTATAAACTATAAATAGCTGAGTAATATTTTATTAATTGCTCAACATTCTTAGCCATCAAGGAAATGAAAATTAAGCTGTTTTGAGATTTTATGTTACCCAGTAAGAATGATGTTACCCAGATGTCAAATGCTGTCATGGATATAAGGAAAGGAACACTTATTCGTTGCTGCTGGGTAGTAGCTGCTAAAGCTACTGTTGTAAAACACTACATCTTTGAATCATAGACTATGGGGATATCAAGCTTCAACTCTATCTTTCTTAGAGAAAATAGTCCTAGATTCACTTGCCTATAAATTTCGCAAGCTATAACAATGACTGGTATGACAAGATATGCTCACCAGTACAATAATGGCAGAATGTTATGGCAGTAACCAAATACTTTATGATTTGATTTAATGTCAACTCTGTAAGATAGAACCCATACCTCACACCATATTCAGGGCCAAGAACCTCTGTCTAGATGGGCCCTTGGGGAGAATCTACTACTACTATTATGATAATGGAAATAGTATTAAACCAATTCTTAATGAGTTACTGCTATACTCACAGATTAGTACATCACTCAACACTCATCAGAGAAGTTTCTCTTTGTAGAGATGGTGAATATCACATAGATTTACAATTTGTCAAGGTGCAGACAATAAGATACTATAGCATATTTAGTCCTGAATGGGACATCTATAACACACCCCCTTCTTCCATAACTCAGGGATATTTCAGAAGAGGGGGTAAGGAGATTGTAAGAGCCAGAGGCAGTAGATGACTTCAACAAAGCAGTATTTTCCAGACACAACAGAATGGATGCACATATGAACTCACAGTAGTTGTGACATGATGCCCAAGATGTTTGTAAGCTCAAGTTTGTAAACTCACAGCATGGAAGGGGAAGGTCATCAGGGAGTCTTGCCCACTGCTGAAGAGCTATTGGTGATCAGTAGCTTCTGGGATAGGGAGAATTAGTTTCCTTCAGTACTTGCAGCATGGATATCAGTGCCTCATTACAAAGCAGTGTAAAGTTCAGAGTTTAAAGTAGAATGTTGGTCTACTACCACCTGGCTAGGCCTGTGGGCTCTCCCTGCAAAGGGAAACTGGAGCACTGGTGTTATGCAGCAGGAGTGTCTGGGTTTGTGTGAATGCTCTGGCCACACTCCTATACATACTGTCCTCTGTGAGGCCAGGGCTACCATGGGCATTATACTGTGCTGAAAATCATCTTGCTTTTCATTAGCAGACGTCTCCAGTTGCCTTTCTTTCTTAAATAACGTCTATTCGTGGTTAACCCAGACCAGAGAGAAACGAATAAAACTAGAGTAAGGCTGTGATTCAATTACTTTTAGCTAATTTGGAGTTTCTTAATCACCTTAGTCTCCTTGGAGAAAAGGCATGATATAAATAGGCAGTAATAACAGTGGAATTATGTTTAATTCCAGTCACTTTTTAAAATAATTAATTTAGTGGTAACAGCTTTAAGCAAGCATGTCAACACTCTACATGACTCTTAAGAGTCAAGAGGAAAGTTCCGGCACCCTCCAGCAGTGACTTCCTCTGAGAAATCCTCTTCAGGCAGCTCCAGGTCACCCTTCCTTCTGCAGGATGGGTGACTCGGACCAGGCTTTGAGCTGTTCTCTCTGTTATTCTGTATGCAAAATACGGCCTCTAAAGAGAGCTGTCTCTTAAATATGAGACTGAATGAGACAGAAGAACCTGGCCTGTATTTCATACCAGAGGCAGAAGCCACTGGATATATCCCTGCAGACTACATGACTGTCCAGTCAAAAGTGACAAGTCAGAAGGAAAACTCAACAAATAAGGGTTGGGGCAGGATTCCGTTCCTTTTTTTGTCTTTAGAGGAAAATAGAGATACCCACCTTCAAGAAATCAAAAGACCTTGGATATCTAGGAATCTGAAAAAGATGGGGAAACTATCTAGAAAAAATTACCAAGCAAAGAGAAATCTGGCCTATGCTACTAATTTTCTCTGAATGGCAAAAATCTCACTACTTAAACATCTATATCTCTTGACTTCTCAGAAAAGTTGTAGGTCTGACTCAATTAAAAACCAAAGCTGGCTTTGGAGTTGGAGCATGGGTCTCTCCTCTAAATCCAAGCATGCCAAGAAAAGAAAAATTCAGAGTTTCTGTCTCACATCAGAAGAGCCACCTGTGTGGCACAGAAGGTAACCAAAAATCTTGAGACTATTGTCAAAACTCTGTTATCTCCCCAAAATTCTATTTCTCCTCATACTTATTTTTGACTCTTTGGATAACTATCCATCTTAAAATTTAAACTTTCCATTTTGATATTAATGTTTAAGTTTTCCATGGTGAACAATAAATTTTCCTAACAAATCTCTGAAGTCTCCAGAATGAAGATGGGGCCCCACAACAATGATTCTGCCTGGTTCATAATGATACATTGAACTAATAAACACTACTCAAAGATCGGCTTTGGACTATTAACTGCTCAAGACAATTCCAAAGTGGCTAGCTGAGATGGTCCACCTTCGTACAACACTCTAGACAGAACTTCAGATAAGCCTTACCCAGTACTCAGAGACTGGCTACAAATGTTAATAGCTAGTCCTCATAAGGTTTAATCATTGTTTTAGTTTTTTACAGAATCCCATAGAGGTAACATTACCTGCTAGACAGCAGGAAGAAATTCTAAGAAAATGACTAGCCCTCTCCCAACAGATTTTGTTTTCTCAGAGTTATTGTCACCTGATAGGCATTGGTTATAAGTTGTAATAGGGTTGGGGGTGGAACAATGAGTTTAGACTCCGGATCTCTTTTGAAAAAAAAAGAGGGGGGAATAGATAGCACATTAGTGTATCTACTTGTAAACTATTTTAGCAACTATTAGTTTTAGACAGTTCACATTGGTATAGATTCTTGTATATTGATACATATGTAAAAGTATTTTTATATTCCTAAGATAATTTGT